ATATATATATTATATATATATATATATATATATATATATATATATATATAATATATATATATATATATATATATATATATATAGATATATATATATATATATATATATATATATATATATATATATATATATATATAGTATATATATATATATATATATATATATATATATATATATATATATATATATATATATATATATATATATATATATATATATATATATATATATATAGAATATAATATATATATATATATATATATATATAGTATATTATATATATATATATATATATAGATATATATATATATATATATATATATATATATATATATATATATATATATATATATATATATATATATATATATATATATATATATAGAGAGAGAGAGAGAGAGAGAGAGAGAGAGAGAGAGAGAGAGAGAGAGAGAGAGAGAGAGAGAGAGAGACACACACACACACGTACGTGTGTGTGTGTGTGTGTGTGTGTATGTATATGTATATGTATATGTATATCAGTCCTGCCCTTTCTGGTCGCTAATGAAACTCCGCAGCTGACGAGACACTCTCAGGAGTGACCGCCAACGAGGCCCATTTGTTCGGCGACTCAACGAGGAGTGGGGCCGCACGGGTCGGGGCCTCGGAGCGCAGTGCGAGAGAAGCGCGTCCGGAGGGCAGCGCGAGACGCTTCTGGGAAGGGAACACAGACTGAAAGTTTTTTTGGGTGATGACGTGGATTGTTTTTGTTTTTTTTCATTTCTGCGAAGTCGCCGACATGGTTTGAAGAGTATTGATTATTACTTTATTAGGCAACGATAATTTGAACCCACTTCCACCATTGTTTTAAAAATACCGTTCGGTCGCCTGGTCTGCGTTGAGTGCAGTTGTACATTCATAGACTTGACCTTATTCTTCGAGGGTGGAGACATATCTACGGCCGCAAGACGGATGTTGGCCCGTTTCTTGTGCGGGTATTCTCGCATTTAATGAATATTTAGTTCTCAGTCCTATTCGTAGCACCTTTCCATACAGCCCAAACGTCCCCCTCGGCTGTACGCTTCCTCGCAGGCCCTTGGGAGGAAATTTCCCGCCCGGTTGTCACATGATACTGGCAGTTCAAGTGCTTATGAAAATGTGCATACTTATAAAACATTCCTTCCGATAATAAGATTTCGGGAATATACGCACGGATTTTGGACAAATGTATTTCTTTTGCGTGTTGCGTCGCTCGGCCCTTAGGACGTCAAAGGAAGTACGCGCAGTGAGATCGTCGGCGCCGCCCTCGTCGCCCTCGTCGTCGATCCCGCTCGGCCTTGAGAGCCGGAAGCTCCCGTTTTTCGTCGCTTGTGGATTATTCTTATTTGTCTCTTTTATTTGCCTTATTTATTTGTCCTGTTGATTTATCTTATTTGGCTGTGTATACGTCTTATGTTTTCTGCTTTACCTTTCTCATTTATAGGTTTGTTGTATTATATCGTTATTTAGAGAGAAACGTAGACGTCATTGGATTAAAGTGGCTGGTAATTACTACCAAGTAATTGGTTTAAGATTGTGAAATGATGATACGGGGGTTATAGGGGGTTATATTTGCAACTTGCTTCTCGTGGTGTTTAATCGTTTTGGTTGTTCATACCAAGTAGAACACGTACACGTACACACACGTACCCGCACGTGCACACATACTCACGTCCACATCCACGCCCCGCACACACATAGCCTACACTCTTATTAGGCTGATTAGATTAGATTGAGCCTCTGAGCCTTTTGGCAGGAGTGTCATGGACGAATCTAATTTCCACAAGATAAATGTCATTATTCTGTTTACTTGACAAACTCCCAGCTGATTGTGGCATTGTGTGTTATCCTCCCAAAAGGAGTCATTCGGGTGTCATCGCAAAATATGTATTATCATATATAGACAGCCTGTCATATTGTCTGGAGCAACTATTTCCAAACAGGGTTTTTAGACTTTATTATATCATCAAATTGTAGCAGCGCGGAATTTCGGTTACACAGCCAACGTTTTCGAGAGCTTGATCTAAGAAAAATAAATATATGTAACATATACACCAAGAGTTGTAGACATTTTGAAGAATGGCTTTGATCCCCAAAACAGCAAGGTGACGCGGGATTTTTTGTTCATGAGCGATTTTATGATAATGAGATTCTAGATAGTAGGAGTATAAGAATGTTTCAAATGTTTAAAAGTTGATGAAATAAGATATATAAGCATGATTATAGTAGTATCTTTAGCTTTAAAAAAAAATATGGTGATGAAAATACTAATCGCCAATCACATTTATATCGCGTTGCAGCTGCAATGGCGGTTTCCTCGGCCTCTCCTTACTCACGGTGTCCTTTCGTTGCAGACGGAGCTGACGACAAGCCCTTCATGGTCGACATGAAGGAGATGAGCGGATATGAGAAAAACCTGTACCTCTACTCGGTAAGTTTTTACATATTTATTCTGGGGTCTTGTGTCTCATGTTTTTTTTTATGGAAAGTAGTGAGACGTGATTTTTTTTTTTTTTTTTTGGGGGGGGGGACTGGTGAGGACACGAGGTCGGAATTCATATTTTGTATATGAAATGGGTACTTCATCTCTCTATGGCATGACTTTTGAAAAAAGTATGATGAAAAGGAGAAAATCGCTTGGCTAGTATGCTATGGGTGATGTACTTGATAATCAGATTTCATAATGCTGTTTAGCAAATGTGAAGCTTGCAAAAAAAAAGAAAAAGGTCATCTTTTGCCCTTCATGGATGGAGGTCTTCATATGACACATCGCCGATTATTAATGTGATGGGATGCTGCGCAAAACTCCTTCAAAGGTCAAATAAAAGAAGAAAATGTAATTAGTATCCCCGTTCTCAAACAATGTTTGTGGCCTGACATTTTAGAAAGGACGTGAAGCCAGTTGGCGATGCTGCGGAGTCGGAAGGATGCTGCAGTGGATGCCCTCCATTGAGAGTTTTTGTTTCTGTATTCCTCTCTCTCTCTCTCTCTCTCTCTCTCTCTCTCTCTCTCTCTCTCTCTCTCTCTCTCTCTCTCTCTCTCTCTCTCTCTCTCTCTTCTCTTCTCTTCTCTTACTCTTACTCTTACTCTTACTCTTACTCTCTCTTTCTCTCTTTCTCTTTCTTTCTCCCTCCGCCTCCCCTCTCCCTCTCCCTCCCTCCCTCCTCTATTTCCGTCTCCTCTTCCTCAATTCCCGCCCCTCTTTTCCCAGCCTTTTCCTTTGAAATGGAGCAATGTTAAGGGTAGCGGAAGGAAGCCTCGTGTTGAAGTGAAGGAAATGTCCGACTCTATCAATAGAGAAGCAACGAAGAGTCACCAGCAACGCAGGGAGTTCGAGTGCTTCGGAATCATAGGCCTGGCGGCGCCCGTCGCTGCCGTCGAGAGCGCCCAGGTTCCCCCGTGGAGAGCGTCGGGCGGCAGTTCCTCGCCCTCGAGAGGTCGCGGCTCCGGGCCCATGACCTCCGTCGTGTACAGGGCGACGGAGCCTTGATGCCGCCTCGCTTGATCTTGCTGTCTGCGGAAGGGCTTGGGACACGAGGCTTCCGGGTTGTGTTGATAGGATAAGTTGACAAGATTACAACGGTTGATATAGGTGTCTCCACTCTAAAGCCTCGGTACGCTATGATAAAGAAAAAACTCTGTGGGACAAGGCATTTACCAATCTCAATCGCTATGCACAGCAGTATACTCAGCGAAGGGGTAAAGCCCCCTAAGCTATCTCACTCTTCCTTCCTTTCTGTCTTTAAGCCTTGTCCTACATACATACGTATATATATATAGTATGTATATATATTTTTTTCTTCCAAGGCTGTATTGATAGATCATTATCTTTGGTGTAGTTCCTGGAGTTCAACGCTGGGAAATGTGGCGGCAGCTCTCGTGGGGTTTCCGAGTGGCTTCTGGTGCTCCTGATTGTGTCTTGGTCTCGTGCAGCGGGAGGCCGTCGGCCGTCTTGCGGAGCTGGTGATGGTATGGTGTCATGAGGTTATGGCGGTCGATTTAGGGTGGCCGAGAGCGCGCCTTTCAGGTTGCCGCTGGTGGCTGCGGACGTGCAGCTTCTGAAAGCTTTTTTTTAATCTTCATTTATTTTTCTTTTGTTTTTCTTTTGTTCTTTGTTCTTGTAATAAACGAGCGCCGTCGAAGTAGCAGATGGAATGGGTTTTTAAAGGCGTACACTATAGGAATATAATTAGAACACAAGATTATTCACTAGTCCAGTAGTTCTAGGACTGGGGTGCCACGGGCAGTGCACAGGGGTATCAGAAGGTGCCAAGGTGGAAAGCGTTGCCCTCCGACGTGAAGTCCAGTCCACCGTGTCCGCCAGAGGAAGCGCCGGGCCTCGTGCGCCTCGGAAGACGGGAACGCGGGAACTTGCTCGTTATGGATGACCCACGGTGACTTATTTTCGCATGTGTAACGCCAGTGTCCATTCGGTACAGGTTGCACTGCGAAAATAAGTCGGTCGTGTGCACTGTTTTAGGCAGGTGAGAATGACATTCATGAAGCAGATGATCGTGCTTGAGAATGCTGACAACAAACATTTAGAAGATAAGAATATGTAATATATTACTGGCTTCCTGTTCGGAAAAAGGAGTCGATTTCCCAAGAAAGCCTTCTAGAAAAGTATTTAAAAAGTACTTACAACAAATCGATTTTAAGAATGCGAAACGTACTTCACCATCTGCTCTTATAACATACTACTCTAAACATTTTTAAAGCAGCCTGAGGCTCATGCTAATCAGAAGGACTGCAAAAATATCAAAACTTGAAGTATATGCCCAATATTTAATTCACGCGTTTGCATTTATATTTGTGCAGTGCTGAAATATGCGTATCATGATATATCTGTTTTTCATTATAATTGGCATGCTCTTACTGCCGCAGATAACGCTGAAGTTCACGGTCATTAAAGGGCTGTGACCCCAGACTGTGCCATGCAATGAATAATAGTACATTTTAGCGTTATCGACTAAAACGTGTCC